ATTCGCATGGTCGCAACTGTGAGAGATAAGGCTTTTATGAAATTGTTTGTTATGAAGCATGCCAGCTGAGGTCTGTCCACACACCAGACCTCATCTACTCTGACAGATGGAGCAATATATGCAATAACCCATTGCTTGATTACAAGGACCCGTCCCCCAAGAGACCCTAAAACCTCTGGTCACTGGAATTGGAGACACCATGGTACTATGTAAGCTGCACATATAAAGTATCTAGTTTATTTTTATTGATATTTAAACACATATACGGAGGTATATCTTCGTTTTTTTTTCCGAATCAGATGTACAGAAAACAGTGGCGGTCAAGCAAGCAAAATTGGGTCACATATTTGAATGTGTTTCATTTCATATCCTTTTGCTTGGTCGCTCTAATTTAATCATATGCTTCACAATTTCGGAAGGGTTCATCCTCGATCAATTCGATCAGCGTTTTAATATTGTCATCTATTGCCTATTTCGATTTAATATTTCGCCTTTTTGTGGCCAGATGCACAAGCGAAAAGTGTTCTGTTGAGGTTAATTAAATCACAATTTTTACACCTCACTGAGGAATGGAGACCTCTGTATAATTTATCTATTGTCTGCCACCAGAAATTACCGTTGCGGCCAAGTGGAGACCATTTCTGTTAAAAAAGTTCTTTGATTCAAAGTTAACTTAATTTCCGTAATTCTATTTTGATATTCTTAATATTACAGTCTTATTTAAATTGTCATTCTCAAACAGCGTGCATGTTGACTGTATAATATAAGAAATAAATTGAGCATGATATTCTCCTATTTATTATGTTTATATTTCATTCCATTAAATTAATATTGACAATTCAGTAAAACATTCAAAAAAAGTGCCGATCATACAAACTATCCAAAGTTGACAACACAGTGTCTTTAAAGAACTGTCTGTAAGGATACGTACAGTTAAAACAGTGTATTAGTTGTGTTCAAACTTTAGGCGTTTAGGAATTTTTTATCCGACTGTCAGCGTCTGTCGGCATTTTAATGCTCATTCAATAGATGAACATATTTGTTCTTGAAAAATATTTCTCATCCACTGAAAAGCAGATATACATGTAAGTGTCGATATACGACGTCTTCAACAATTTTGTATATACATAATAATTTATTATTTGATTAATTCTACCTTAACTCCCTAAAAATAACAAACATTATGAGTTTGTATTATTATTATTATTATCCTCTTCACAAAAACTAAACAACAACAAAAAAATCACAATCAGAAGGTAGTAAATAAATAAATAAATAAATAAATAAATAAATAAATAAATAAATAAAATAAATAAATATATAAATAAATAAATAAATAAATAAATAAATAAATAAATAAATAAATAAATAAATAAACATGATTTCCTGCAATGAATATATATAGACTATTCATTCTTGTTTGTTTGTTTATTTCTTTTATTTCATATTTGAATAAATATTTTTAGTCATATTAAAAATAAAAAGTATGCAAAAATCATAAATTGTTACAATTTTTGACGTTTTGTCTTCGTTTTATGGCAACACTGGAAACATTTTATGCATATGTATTCATTTCTTGTATGTGTACCAGATAAAAATACGATACAGAATTGATGTTTTAATAAAACCACAAACGATCGTAAAACACGGATAATCGGCAATAAATTTAGCGGATATTTTCGCGTAAATATTTAATGTTCTTCAAATAAAACCGGTACTTTCTTTGGTGACTTTGCGCAATGAACAGGGATAAATTATTATGTCAAACGAAATGATCAGAAATAATCAGATTTTAAAGGAATAAAACGGCGTTAAAATTTCAACTTCAGACATTTTGGCGGGAAAATTGCATATATAACTGTTTACGTTCATGTAAACCAGCTTCCGTTTCCGACATTTTATTTGGATTTTGAACGAAACAAGTAAATTTGGACATTTTTTACGTTGTCATGTTGCTTTAATGAAGCCAGATGTTACAATGCATGGCTGTTTTGCTGTAAAGATGAAATAAAAATGTCAGTTTATTGTGTGCATGCCTGCATGGTTCGGAAAAGGTGTTTCTTATATTGTAAATGTATGCACATGGTAGCTTTATGAATTTGAATGCGACTGATAAAATTGTACACAAATAGCTTCCAACACCGAAAATGGAAACCCCCTTGCAATTCTAAAATAGTCAAATAGTAAAAAAATATTTTTTTCCCAAAATTGTATTTTATCTTTATTTCATTATTTTGATATGCAGTATATACATGGCCCTAATACTATTACTTTATTTGATCTTTGGTAGGAACAGGTACTAAGAAGGTTTACCTTCAAAGTTTTATTGAAGCTTAAATATACTTACTTATTTGACACGAAATAATTTATTCAGAATTGAGAAAGATTATTTAATTAGGGTTACATATGACTATAACCCATTCCTCTAAAAAAAATAAGACTTTCTAATACGTTCATATATGGATTATAATGATTATTATTATGTTTATGATTTTAAACAAACTTGTGGTATGAATCAGACTCGGGTCTGCTACCTACACATGAACCACTAAAAAGTCGAAACCAATATAGTGCATAAGCTCAAAGATCATCATGATGCAAGGCGGACCTTAGCATAGATTCCCTATTATGGCTATACACTGATACGGAAGATGCCAAAAGAACGACTTTTGTCATAAAAGGATTTCTTCAAGAACGCCAAAAATGGTAAAAATCCAGTCCGTGGACGGTAAGTGCAAGCTACTATGCTTAAATAGTATTAAGCATTTATTTAAAACATGGATATGGTGCAACTTGGAATTTAGAAACATCCACATACATGTGTTTAATGCAATATCGATACAAATTCTTACAAGGATAGCTCCAGTTTTCGTTTCTAAAGACGATTCCATGCTCTTTACATACATCATTTGGCAACTTTTGTCTTTTACGGTTTTTATCATTGACAATGCCTAGACAAGGGTTGGCCAATATAGGAATTCACAATATTTTATTGTGGTGTCCAACACACGAAGTATATTGGAGGGTCACAAGGTATAAATTCAATGGCAGGATGTTAAATAATCATAGAATAAACAAATTTTATTTTCAAATAATTTATTTATTTGCCTCCAGAGGGGGCTATATACATAACAAATATTTCATGTACACAACACTATGATGTGTTAGAGAACTATAACTATAAAATATATTTTAACATCTGTACAGTGTATCTAACACAAGTAAACAGTTCTGTAATAAAAGAAAGATAAAAAATACAATAACAAAATTATATATTTTCCTCTTGAATATAGACGATACCAGACTTATTCATTTCCAATATTTACTCAGCAACTGAAATATGAAGTTATTACAATACTTAAAGGGTATTAAAATATATTTCATGAAATATTTTCACCAAAAAAAATTAACACTAATATTATATTGTTTCAAAAAAATCATATGATTGATTCCTCAAAGAGTTGTAACATAGAATGTTTCTGTTATTTAACACACATAAATATTGTTAACACAATTAAAATTTAATGTTCCTGAACAAAATATTATTTGGCTATTTTAAGTAGGGTTTTATCTGTTTAGCAATGATTTTGTGTATGCCACATTCGCTTTTACGGCAATTTGCTTCCATTTTTCTTTCCTGCAAGCTTTCTGGATTTTTTTTGCAGTAGATATATAGCTTTTAACATTATTAAAGAAATTAAAGAATGCTGTTATATGAGAAAAAAATGCATTTTATCTGTTTTTGTATTTATTTAACACATGATTGTAATATAAGACTATTTCTGAAATTATACCTCTAAGAAAGAAGTAGTTAATATTTAAATCAATTAATTACTTCATTTATTCTAATGCTTACTTCTCGTCATTGTTTCAGATATTTTTGTGTTCTGTTTTAAGTGGCATCCACACTATAACAGTCCTATGGTGACTATTCAGATTAAAAATGGTAGAGGAAGACCTTTGTTACGCCTTTGTGCTTTTATTTTCAGGCAAGATCTGGCACCTAAGCAGAATCACCAAATTTGCAAACCATAAATTATAAGTTCCTACATGGATTTGAACCCTGGTAGTGGTAAGGGTGAGGGCCTACTGATTTCAAGCCAATGACCTTGACCAGTCAGCAAAGAAGACCGAGATTTAAGAATCTAGACTTGCTTTAAGAGAAACTGTTTAAATTTGAGTTCAGGTCAACATAATAGATACTGGTGGACAATCTATAATATATCAAAAATGATTAAAATTCAAACTTACATCTTTAAAAAAATTCTGCAAAATATCTAACAGAGATGATAGTTACCGAAAGAAAATGTAAATATGGTTTTATTTTATACATTTGAATGGCCTGTGGCATTACGTTGAAATTAAACAAACTATCACACTAAATAGTTGTTTAAATAGTATTGTTTATAATTCTGTGCTTTGGGGTTAAATTATTAGTAGAATCTTTCTCTCTTTTTTTCTCATTTAAATCATACAACTTTACACAACCACTTCTCTCACATTTTATAAATTTATATAGGCATCTTTTCAGTATTTTCAAATTCATATTAACAATATTCAATCTGTAACAAAATCTAAGAACTTTTTCTTTGAAAATCTAATTTGCATTAGATGACAAATTTTGATACTATTACACATATAAAAAAACAGTTAATATAAACAACAACAAGCACTCTAACATATAACATAACATATTGCATTTAAAAAATGAACACTTCTCCTTAATTTAAATATTTCAATTTAATTATTACCATTATTTCTAAAAGACGTGCAGAATAATATAAGCAAACAAAATACACGAAGCATCTTAACTTTTGGTTGGTTAATACATTGAGCAAAGCATTCCTGTTAAGCCAAAGCCTAAAAAACTTCTACACCTTGATAGCAGTAACATACTTTATTAATTAATCAATTAATCAACATTGATGTATAAATATTATATAATAAAACTAACAAAACATATTTATTAACAAAATTTTGTTCCATATTTAAAAAAAAAATTATTAATTCACCCTTAACCTGTGGAGTTTGTTAAATCAGTTCATTTGAAAATTAAGAGATTTCAATATAAAAATTGCTAAAAATCGAGCTACTGGTCAGAAATCTTCACTGGCCTCATACTTGTGACAGTGGCTTATAATATCTTACAACTCAACCTGGTTAAATGTTAAGGCAGTTTTATTTTTCAATCTCAAAAAAAGTCCAAACATCTAGTTTGAATCATACTGAGAAAATCATAATTAATACAAACAATGAAATAAATCAAGCTTAAAAATTTAAAACTTATTTAAATCATTAATGAATTTAAATGCTCACATATGCTTAAACATCAATTACTGTATTAAAATTTTTAGAAAGGATTATCTTTTACATATATGTTTCTGAACAAAAAAAAACCAATAACAATAATGTGAAGATAATAAATGAAAGTATTTTTTTATCAAAGCAAAAATTTATTTGATCAAATAATGTGACTGAAATTTATTAATTTATCTCTCATTAATTGATTTGAACTTTAATATTGCCTCTTTATAAAATAGTTAAGTAAAATGTGAACATCAAGTTACCAATATTAAAATTGTTGAACTTTTAAATTTCCTTTCAAAACATACTGTAATAAATGTGAAATTGACTCGAAGCAAATTTTCTGAACTTTTGAATTCATAGATACTAATATATATATATATACAATGTATATACATGTAAATAAAATACAGAAAATTGAACATAAAATTTACAGCACTTTTCAAAGCTTGCACTATAATAATCAAAGCAACTTGGTTGCTTATATAGGAATGTACACAAGAAATCAAAAGAACAAAAAAAAAAAAACATCATTTGGAAATTTTTATGTTTTCTTTCTTCATATTATCTATGAAACAAAACTTATTTCTACTTTCCAGCTAACTTTTCTGTTTAAACAGAAAAAAGCAAGCTTTAACTATAATTAAAAAGAATATAATTTTTGCAGGGTGATAAATATGATCTCCTCCTACTGACAATTCATGAGAGTTACTACTTATAATTAATAACCGTTTTTTTTCCTTCTTAAAAATATTTATTTGAACTAGATCCATACCATAACTACTTAAGTATAAAAAGTCTTCATTCAAAAAAAAAACAACAACAGAAAATCCCCCAAAAACAACAGAATTTTTCTTTAATGTTTGCAATGATGAGTGTAAAAAGAATACAGAATATTTCAGAAAATTTCGAGTAATAAATATTACTTTTCTTCATTTAAAGTATGAACCAGAATGAACAAACATTTTCCTTTTGTATAAAATGAAAAAAAATAATGTTCAAAATATGTTCATATTTTCCATAAAATGATTTTTGTTGTTGTCCTAGGGTAAAAAAAGGATAACTTTTTCTTGAAAATGATTTACCATTTAAATTTGCATGTTTTAATTACAATAAAAACAAAAAATAATTAAAATGATAAACAATACAATATTTGAAAATACAGTTTTCATAAAATAATAATAATTAACATATAATAACCTTTACCTTGCTGACTATCTTTAATTGACTTCTATTTTTTTTGAAGCTGTCCATTTTCAAATTTTGGGGACATCAAGATGTAAATTAAGAGCTAGTCAGTCCTCAGTATAGAGCCTGGAAAGACTGCACGGATGTACAGGCTGGCCTGGCTCTATACTGGTCACAAATGCCGCTCACTTTTTAAGTTGATCAGGGCAAATGTTAAAGAGGACAAAAATATATTCAGAAATTATCATTATTATCTTTATGACATAAAAAATTCAAAAAATGTTTATTTTTAAATCAATTACATTCAATACATTGTTTATGTGAAAACAAAAATGATATATTCATTGATATTAAGATCATAACAATTCTATACTCTATCAAAAATTATAAAATAATTTGTACCTATTAAATGCAAACACAAATTATTTGAAAGACATTATACATGTACATATATATTATGTTAACATTAACATTTTGTTCTGTTCTGTTAACATTTAACGATAAAATTGCCTAATTAACAAAAGAACAAATTAAAACAGTTTTGCAACAAATCCAATGAAAGATATAACTGCATTTGAAAGCAAAATTTGTTTACAATTTTTACTTATGAATAATTCTTTCTAATCATTTTTTGGTCAAACATTGTTCAATAAAACTTTAAGCTAAAATTTTAATCAAAATTAATAAATAAGACAAACTGAATATTAATTTACAATGTATTTGGGAATCATTTAATATCTAAATTATCAATTTAGTATATTTTATTATTTTATTTTATTACTGCCAACATAAATAGAATATAACTGTAAGATTTTTTGTTGACAATTCATTTTACTATTTGATTAATTTTCATTTGTCAAAAAGAATCTTTTTAAAGGTACATTATGCCTCAGAAATCCATATTTTTTTTTAATTCTTTAGAAATGTGAAACATGTGTTTAAAAATGATGTTTTATTTTAATATATTTAGAGCGAAACGTAAACAAAGCAGCATTTAGACTTCCATACAAAATACTAATTCACACATACTAATGCCAGAGCACAAAAGAAGTAAAAGTAGTTTATCTATATGCCAAATGTGTATTTTTTTAGAAACTGTAAAAAGATACCAAAAATAAAACAGTTTTTTGAGAAATAAAATTGATAGAACTTCTGAGGTATAATGGGCCTTTTAAAAAAACACATTTGGCTATGAAAGTTTTATTAAGAAGTTTTTATACTGAATATGCAATGCCATACAGTAAAAAATGCAATATTTGACAAGAGGATCAAAACATTACCTTTACAATAATTTATTTGTCAACCTCGACATTAATTTGCTTCCAGGTGTATTAGAATGACTTAGCAAGGCCATGTAGTTAAGTATTTTAGTTGTCTATCAAGGCAAGGGTCCTGTTTTAGATTCGTATCTTGGAGCCATCTTCATATCTAAACTGGCTTACAATACTAGTTTTATAAAATGTCAAGGATGGACTGTTAAAGGCCCATTAAGCTTAATTTTTTTTTATTTGTTTTATTTCTCAAAAACTTTACTTTTCTCATGTCCTGAAACAAATCCAAAATGTTACTCACTGGCCATAATATAATAATAGAGTCATTGCTCCTACTGCATTTGGCATTACAGTACAGTTACAGTAATTAAGTATTTTGTATGAAAGTCAAAATACCAATTTGTTTACATTTTGCTACCTTTCTGCAAACTATTTCATTTTTTTCCTACAACTCATGAGTATCCCATTTGTTCTTAATCCATTATTACAACATTATTAAACACATACTTTACCTTTCTACAACATGATAAAATATTTATTTCTGAGGCTTCATGTACCTTTAAAATATATCAAAAGTTCAGTGCTATAACTTTCTCTGCTAGTTAAAAACCTTGTTTTGCAAGAGATGACCACTCAATGTAAGTCCTGACCACTCTATTTCCTGACCACTCAATTATAAACCAAGACTACTGAATTTAAAGTCTAGACATTTTAATGTAAGTCCAGACCACTCAATGTAAGTCTAGCCTTTCAAATAAAAGCCTAGATAAACTCACTTTGACACTACTCAATATAAACCTAGGCCAGTCAATTTTAAGAAGTCCATTCAATATAAGTCTGGACCACCTCTCAGTGTAAGTCTGGACTGCTCAAACACATGTAAGTCTAGGCTCTCCAAAATAGATCTAGACCACTCAATGTAAGTCTGACAGTCACTCTTGATCCCTCATTTCAACAGACACAGAAACTTTATCATTGTACTTTATACTTAAATGCATGAAGGTAACTGGTCCATTTATAGTTCATAACTGTACTCAATGAACTCAAAGACAATGTGAGGACAATGACGTCTGCCATGAGTCCTCAAAATGCAGATTTTACATAAATACCATCTGAACTTACTAAAGCATCAAGTCTGGCCTGCAGTAATAATTCTGAAATTATTCTTAAAATAGTTTTATTATTGCTGGGTCCTTATTACAAGATGATGTGTAGCTTTGTTGATTGGTGATTCGATCCTTTACAGTATCCATGTCAAATATCCTGCAACTGCTCATTTTCAGGTATTTCTTTACATTTGTCTTGATTATGTTGGAAATATTTACACGTATCTACAGATCTATGGCAATGTTGACATACATCCTGAAAAATATGAAATAAACATGTCTGAAAAAAATAAAATCTTTAAAATAGTGAATACTCTGTCAGTTACTATTACGGCATATTGGTCAGTTACATTAAAAACTGTTTCATTCAAATGAAAGAAAGTTTTTGCAACTTCAGTTGGTCATTTATTACACCATATTGGTCAGTTACATTGGAACAGCTGGTTGCACTAAATTCAAAGTAGGTGATCGATAATATTACTTAAGTTGCATAGGATAATTCTGATAGAACCATGACACTTAAGCCCCTGCTCCCGCTCTCCTTAAGCACGCGTGTAAAATTAAGCAGTTTATACTTTAAATGACCATTTCCGCTACGAAATCATTCTTAATGCTAAGAATAAAAACATAATTGAAAGGTTCAACCGAATAGTAAGACAAATTTTTTATTTTGTAACTTAAATATTTCAGTTCAATGGGTTATCTAATACAGGTAATTATGCAAAACATTGCAATAAAATGTGCACCATATTGTGGAGGCCGAACCTTTCGTTACCGTCAATCATTAGTGGGCGTGTTTCTGAAATTTTGCGCAATTATCGAACAATAGTGACAGGATGTGCACGCAGAATTAATAATATATGCAAATCTGCACGGTAAACATCTTCTTGTGTGAGCTACACGCATTTTCTTCCAGGTTGGTCAACTTTCAGAATGCATAAAATTGATGCAAATTGCGGAAAAAACACGGGAAATGCAGTTTTTTCTTATGGGTGAAAAACTAAAAATAAATCGTGACAACAGCCAATGAAATAAGGCGTTACAAAAAAGTGATGTTTGTTAAATTACAATAGTATGGCAGCCATTTTTTTTACATTTAGAGATCATTGTTAGGAAAGAAAGAACAACAAAGGTAATTTTGAAGATTTAAGTTAGCGTCCTTCCAGGAAGCACTTAAATCTTAAGATACTCGAACACTTAAATCTAAAGACACTATTGGACACGAGTTGAGAGAATATAATATGTTTTAAAACGTTAATCTATTATCATACTCATTAACAATTCTAAAAAGCGCTAATATATCAATACAGATGAATATTTTCATAAAATTTTCAAAAAAAAAAAAATCCATTAAAAGCTCTTCTGATATTCTAGAACAAAAGTTATGCTCCTAATATTCAAAAACATTCATACTAATTCAATTTACATATGTTAGAACTTTGTTAGTTAAACATCTAGGAGCAGAAATGAATATCAACTTAATAATAAAACGTTCTAATCTATCATTTGTCATGAAAATTATATGGAACAGATTCAAAATTAACAGTTGCATAACTGCCGCTATTATCACATGATCTCTGAATCCCGAAGGTTTAATTGTCAAGGGTGCAGCACATTTACGATGTAATGTATAACACGGTAATGTGAAATGCGATCTTAGTTTTTCAACATAATCGGTATCATTTCAATGCAATGTTAGAGCATAACACACTTAATCATATTCGGGTCAATGAAAAATTGACGTAAGGTCAAGTCACCCGGCAACGATGAATAGGCCCCGCCCCCTGCAAAAAATCTATGACACACAGACCAGTTTTATCTGTATTTATAAAACGCATTATCGCTTATTAAGTTGTTAGTATCGTAAGCGCTAACAATTATAACAGACATTAAAACAAATGAACCGCGAAAAATACGTTTTTCTTACTACTTCTGAAAGCGCAGAAATTAATTCCATATCGAATGATCGTGTTAAGTTATATCTTTAATTGTTTTGGATCATTTAGAAAGTATACAACTTTTCAATAATTGCACTTACACGAAATGTAAACTTTGATATATCGAAAATCGTTACTGATCAGAAATGTCACGCCGGCCTGACATGCTGAGTAAGTGGCACAATAAAACTTCAAAAACGTACTTTAAACAATGAAGACGGCACCAAAATGTTCTAACTCTGAAGTAAACAATTGTGTTATACAGCTATTACTTTTGTCTATTTTAACGTGACTATTGATAGACATAAAGTCAATCAAGGGCACATTACTTTGATCGTCTGCCAACGCTTCATTAGCGGCTATATTTACAGTGTGCACCGTACAGTAAATATACATTATCTGTGTCAGGTATGTCATAACAAAAGAGTTTAACATCTCGTTATCATGCACTTATTGCAGTTAAAAAATTCAATAAAGACCCCAGTCTTCAGCCTAATTATATAACACTTTGTGTAGAGACTATTAAATATGTACCCAAAGTCATACAACCAAACAAAACTGTTAACAAAGGTCAAATAATTGATGGAAAATTAAGGGTAAATATTAAGCTTTCACTGAAAATTTCATTCAAAATTAATATCATGAGCAAATTACTTTCAAAGATGTAGTTTATAAACATATTGGTTCAAATTTTAAGCAATTTCCACTACAAAAAAAAACAAACAAACAAAAATCATTTTATTGGAATTTATCTTGTAAGTAACACCCAGGGATTTTGAAGTCACACAAATGTCAATATCAAGGTCATATGAGCCGCGTCACGACAAAACCAACATAATGGGTTTGCGACCAGCATGGATCCAGACCAGCCTGCGCATCCGCGCAGTCTGATCAGAATCCATGCTGTTCGCTTACAGACCTTATAACAAGTAAAGAAACTGATAGCGAACAGCATGGATCCTGATCAGACTGCGCGGATGCGCAGGCTGGTCTGGATCCATGCTGGTCGCAAACCCATTATGTTGGTTTTGTCGTGTCGCGGCTCATATAATAAATCTTCAGCTCTCATGTTAGGATGAGGACAAATTGTCTCCTGCACTATCAACATTGTTGCATACAGACGCAAAAATACCTTGATATTCTCAATTACTTTCTATATGCTAGTTCTATACTATTCTTTTACCTTTCAAATATAAAACACCAAGCCCAGAGGCGCACTGAGCCACAAATCCCCTTCCCCTGATTGGAGCACTATACATGTCTATGAATATGAAATTATATTATGACACATTCTACAGAGTCATTCTATACATTCTTAAAAGCTGTCCAGTTAGCTCAATAGGTAAAGCATTGGACTGTAAATTGGATAACCCAGGTTTGATTCTCAGAGAGTGCAGGTCACTTTTGTTGTGATTGAACATTAAATCTTTTCTACAGTCATTGCACTGTACCTCTGCTCTGGGATGTACAAAAGTTATCAGTTCCTTGCAAATGTGAAGTTAACTAGTACAGATAAACTGCTTGACAGCCTGCCCAGTGGCTGAACAGTGCTCTGGTATTAATTCAATGCGGCTTACTGCCATGATCCAGATTGAAACTTAACTTCCAACACCACATAAACATTCTATATGTTTATATAAGTACATGTATATATATGCTTTCAGGCTATATAAACTTCCTTAATCGATATCAATAAAGAAGTACTCTGACCATTGGTGCAGAAAAAAGATGGCCAAGGCATTCTTATTATACTTCCATACAGGACCTTGTTTTTTCTCAAAGGTGATACATAATGTTATGGCAAGTTAAGCACCAAACAACACATCAATGCTTTATGCCATTTTGGAAGGGAACTACTGGCCATCTTGCATCCTATAAGCTTTAACCTGCTGGTAAAAAAGTAATCAGCTTTTGCCACCAGTACTAAGCCAGGCTCTATGCTGTTGTTAGCTCAATTTTTTGTATTTTGTTAATTGAAATCCCTTTATTTTTGAATAGATTGATCCACATTCAAAGCAGGGCAAAGTCATTATACATATTCAGCAAGCCGAGGATTATGAGAAAATCACATCTCCTTTTCTAACAGCTGCAGTAATGACAAACTGATAGTAGTGGAAGGAAGTCGAAAAAACATCATCAGAGCTTCTGCTTAATTTACTGGAAAATTTCAAATTTTACACTTGTCACCAGAAGGAGAATATGACAATTATCTTTTGTAGTGATTATTCCCCGTGTTGTTATACAATTGTAATACTATACAATATTTATACCGATTTGCAATATGACTCCAATCCCACAATGCAATTTACGATCTTTATTCTATATGCTCAAATATCAACCGTGCGCATGCGTGCTAACATAGTTATGGCCAAGTATCCCATGACAACGTGTTTGCATATGGCCGCTCGGTTTATATTGCCCTGATAAACGCTGCAATGCACAAATATTTTCCTCTGCATGGTTTTTATTACTAGTGCTTTTAGCTGAATGGATGCAATGATATTTGTGCAAAATTCTCTGTAACCAGTAATTCCGATGCAATGTGCATTAAAAATTACAATAAAAACCAAGCGAATCGGAATAAACGCTAAGATATCAGCTAAAATGATTGAGTAATCGCGCTTTGACCAGGTTTAGTTTTAAATTTAGTCTCTTAAAACAATAAATGCTACAAAAATTGTATGACATTGTAATGTGGGTATCATTATAGTCAAAGTTCACTCTTAACATATATATTTTATATATTTAATATCTGTTTTATACTGTTCTTATATACAGATACAGTACCAATAAAAGAGGGCTCTGCAGCTAAAAAAAGTGGAGAAAGACCTGACCTGTGTGTCGTGTCTAAATATATGTTATGCGCATTGAAGCAAGATGTTTTAACCACAGACATTCCTAACAGTATTTGAGTTGTTACATCATTGCTGACCATAGCCCTTGGAACTAAAAGTAATTAACCTTTACCAGCAAGCCTGTACATCAGAGCAGTCTCATCAGGCTATAAACCAGTGGTATATTTGTATTTTTGAAATTAAAATCCCTTAAAATCAAACTGTTTGTTCCAAACACAAAGCAGGGCGAACCTGTAATAAAATTTTGAAGGCTAAGTGTTAATATTAAGTTTACACAGAATTTATTTAAGTTTGATTGTGAAGGATGCTATTTCAAATCCCTTCCTAAAACTGACAAGACTAGTGTGTGTTAAGTTTCTAACTCAAGGAAACTACAGCTGCCGTGATGGGGTTTGAACCTAATATAATAACTAGAATTAGGGTATACAAATTAAAATACTGATTACTAAACACAGACTTAAATG